TGATTGGCTTGTTTCACTAATAAGAATCTGATATATCACATCTTGGTCTTCCTAATCTAAATACATCTTGTCTCTTGTCTGTTAAGCATTGTTGTTGCCTTCATGGGAGTAAGAACATGTCCTCGATTCTTTAATTGGTCTCTAAAGCCAATTGAAATTAATAAGACAGAATTTTGGTTTTCGCTTTGATGTAGTAAGCATACATGCACAATAGGGATGAAGCAGTTCTTTTAATGAAAAGACCATACATCTCTCTTTCTTAGGCCATTTACAAAAGTCACTTTGGCCTACGATAATATGATGCAAGCCAACAGTTTTTCACAGACAAGGTTCCTGTTCTTTTTTCTTTAGTAGAAGACTAGAAGGTAACATATTTCTTGGAGATATCTCAAAATCAGAGAAAAATAACTAGTTTAAATTAACCAAGTGGAATTGGTGAAAGGGGTGCAAGTCAGGTTGCCCCATTTGAAGAATTTCGACTACATTGGGATCGGGTTTGTACTCGAGAAAATTCAAAATTCAGCAAAATTTCAACCAACCAGACCCAAGCTGCATCCCTAACTAGTGTTGGTCAATTAATTTATTCAAAGCACAAGTGTCAAGTGGGGATGTTTTTTTTTTCTTGCATAAGGCTGCATTCCAATGGATACAACTAGCAAAAGTAGTTCATATGTAGTAGTAGGATGTGTAAGCTTGTAATGGATTTTCTGGTAGCACCAGACTGCATTTTGAAGGTGGTGGTTTACACTTTACAGCATTAGCATTCTTGAAATGCTGGCAATACCATGCACTCTTACAATGTTGGTAGAGGATATTAATCAGTTAGATCAGATGAATCAACATCTCAGACCAGGAGGAGAATGACTACAATTGTTTTCCTTCCCATGTTGGTGCATTGTGAGCTAAGATTCCCCCTGTTTTGGCCATTGCATTAGATGTTTGTGTTAGGCAAGCTATCCCATGGTTGTTGCAGTCTTATTTTCTCTCTGGATTGCCAGGAAAGAAAGAAAGAAACAGAAAAGATCCAACTCCCCAATTTCTTTTTTGCTTCTTGTTCCTTCAAAATTAATTTTGTTTTAATTAAAGTTCTATTTGGAAACTGAAAACCTAAATGCCCTACTGACAGTGTGAAATACATGGAAAATGCTCAAGACCAGTAATCAACAAGAATAAGCCTCGCTTAATTCATGGCTTCTATCAGCAAGCAGAGAGAGTAACTAGAGCTGGAGTTACCCATTTCCAAATGACCCTATCCAGTTGCATCAATCTTTAATTCCCCATCACCAAAATACAAATCATCACTGTCCTCTAGGTTGTTCATAAAGTTGAAGAGGAAAAGGTTCTTTGCATTACTCCTCAATTTCCCTTTCTTGGACCACCCTTTCACATTTTCTGTATTATTCACATAGATAGAGGGACAATATAGCCAGCCCAGACTTTCCATTTGTAGGTATGCTCATGCTTGTCAACTTCAACATTTATGTGCAAGGATATGGCCCTTTTCCTAAACAAACCAAATATTGCGACTAGATAAGAGATGAGAGGGACAAATCAAGATTGGTGGAAATCCTTTAACCATAACTTTTCCCCTCCTCCATAATCTGGTCACAAGCTTGATCCCAAGGTGATCAAGAACCCAACCCAAGCTTGGCTATAGCTTGACTACTAACTTATTTGATAGAAACCCACATCTATCTGAAAGCTTGAACTCTGAGGAACTTCATTTCATCAATGAATTCATTTGAAGTTTAATCTTGATTTGTTTAAAACCTACTAATTCAATATGGCAAGTGTCATCCTTTTGTTGAAAATTCCAACCATTTAGTTTCCAGGATGCATATCAAAAAGAGGTTGCTGCAAAATGGACATCAGTCCCCTGATTAGACTAGTACACTGGCAAGCCTTCTTTCTTCTTTTTCTATGGAGTAGCCTATTTGAAGTTGAACTCTGCAGATAGGGCGGTGGCACAACACCTTTTAAAGTAATGCTTTGTGGTTGTCATGAGGTACAGGGGGCCCTCACTGAACTGAAGCATCTGAAGCTGAAGGGCAGGACGGAATATACTCTTCTGTGACATGGAACGCATAAAATGTTGTGTAAATGCTCACATGATTCAACCTCTACACTGCCCAACCATGAGAGTGTCATTCCTGAACTGATTGTTGGGATTGTTGAGATGTTGACAAGGAGAAATTATCAAATATTTGTGATCCAAATGAGCTGGCTTGAATAATCAGTAGTGTGATTACCCAAAAACACACACACACAGAGATGTTGCAGTGTTTCTACTTCTTTTTCTAGTCGATCAGCAACTTTTGATTAATTCTTATCCCTGTAAATAACACAAAACTTTTAAGATACAGTATCTGATAAAAATGGAACCTATATACTCAATTAAGCTAAAATAATTCAGACTGAAGTTATACGTACCCAATTGAATCGCTTCTTCTTAAAGTGATATATTCGTTGGGGAAAAATATGAATGCTGATAAACTTGGTCCAGAATTTCAGGCAATGAACTGACTTCAAGTGATAGAGAAAACCAAAATAAAATGATTTCATTATAACTAGATTGCTTCAAAGTCCCAGTATTATGTAGGACCTGATGTACAGAAGTTGACAAGTAGACCTGTTCATGGGCCAGGTAGCCCGACGGCCCGGCCCACATCCCGATCGGGCTTGGACATGTAATTAGGCCCGCAGACCTGACCTCGGGCCAAAAACAGCAAGCCCGACTGTGTTTCGGGCCGGGCTCGGAATTTGTCAAAAAAGTCCGGCCCGCATCTCAGTCGGGCTTGGACATGTAATTAGGCCCGTGGGCCTGACCTCGGGCCCAAAACTGCAAGCCTGATTGTGTTTCGGGCCGGGCTCGGGATTTGTCAAAAAAGCCCGGCCCGAGCCCAAGCCAGCATTATATATTTTATAAAATGTATAATATTTATTAGAATATATATATATATATATATATATATTAATAATTTAATATATATACACTTTTTTTTTTATTTTTTCTTTATAATCTCTCTCTTTTTCTATTCAGCCGCTTCAATAATAGCAGCGGCATGAGCTAGACTTCGGGCTCGGACTCGGGCCTTAGAAAAATCTGTTAATACAGAATAAAAGCCCGGCCCATAAACAGGTCTATTCAAAACCAATTTAAAAATTTTTGAAAGATAATAGTTATGTTCAACTGTGCATTTAGTACAAGGCATATTCGATGGGCTACTCCCTGATTTCATAACATTAGGCCAATGATCCAATCCATAATATCCATTCTTTGACAGTCGGCCAAAAAAAAGTACCAATTTAGGCTAGGGTTGTCCTGGCCCTATAACACAAAAAAACATCTATAGTTCCATTAAAAAAGGCTTTTGGGCCCTGTTTATGTATGATGACTGTTACATGTCTCAGGCCAAGATGGGGTCCATGGGGATTTTTTCATATGCTATCCTCCTCTACTACAGAAAATTTTTACAGTAGCACCCATAACCCATTTGTGGCGAAAACATTCACTTTGGCTACCCTTTGGTTGTTGTCTAGAGAGCCAGAGAGTATGAAGAAACTTTTACAATTTTCTCAAGAAAAAAAAAATTCTAAAACAAGTAATTGTTTGGTCTAAGAACCTACAAGAGTTTCGTTTGAAATGGTAGTAATTATTTTCTCTTACAAAACTACCTGAAAATGTAAGAGAATCGAATGCAAGGTGCAAAATGAGTAAATGGGGCCTATTAACTGGCTCTTTTTTTTTTAAACAACTTTCTTTGTTTTTTTCGTCAATCAAACACTACAAAATATAAATGTTTTCTTTCATGTTCTTACATTATGTTGGGGAACCAAACCAAACAGAGCCTTTGTCACGCTATCTAGTGTTTCAAATATAAATTCTGTGGAGAAAGGAATTGAGGATGTATCTCTGATAGAGGCTTAATTGCAATAAGAAATTCCAATCCATGTAAAATCCTATTCCGTTGTGGCATCTAACAGATATTAATATAATCGCCCATTTGTCATGTGGCATGACATTAGTTTCAGTTTCCACACAATTTCTCGTTTGAAAAGGACCGAGGGAAACATGTTACAAGAGTTTCTCTGTCTTTACTTATCAAAATCAAAATACAACAAGATTGAAGCGTTGGGCTCACTTGAAGAAAGGCAAAACTAGAGGGTCCTCTCCTAGTAGGTGGGTGTTGGTAAGCATCTGTCACACCCATCATGATCCATGTGGGTGAGAAACCAGTGAGTGATCGATGGAAAACTTGGATGGGTGTTTGGTAATAGGAACCACATTTTCAAAATTGCTTTCTAAGGAATTGCCAATTTTGAGGCATTCTGGCAATCATCAGTTTCATTGAAAAAATGTGTCTCAACTTCAAGAATGGCCCCTGAATATAAAGGTTAAGAATTACCAATTCCTCTACTGATTTTTTTGAGGAATGAACTTAACAATTGGGATTTCTTTTACTAGTAATTTTAGTGTCGGCCCTGGGCGAGCTGGCTGTCAGTTGTAAGTTGTAATTTTGCACAACCAATTCATTTTATATGGGCTCTGTACTCCCAAATTGATTAGACCTTAGACAACTAGATGAGTGTGGATGGATACTTGATATTTACTAGAGGCATTAGAGCAGCACAAGGAGACAATGTTGGTATGAAGTTCAAATTTTGTAGACAAAACCCGTAATTTTTTTTTTCTTTTTGATGATATTGACAAACCAACTAATGGATTACTTTATTAAAAGAAAAATAATAAGAGTTGGCACATTGGAATATAGATAAGAAGAAGCATATGATGAATTAATTTCTTATACATGAAGATGAAAATGAAGATGAAGATGGAGAATGGAGTGATAATCCATAGGGACAGTCCAGGACCCACAAGAATTAACTTATAACAGTGAGAACGAAAACCCAGTCAGTGAGTCCGCAGTTAGTCAGTCTCATGGAATCATCCTCTTTTCTTAGTTTCCAAAAACAAATAGTAAATAAAACATCTAATAACCATCCAAAAATCTCATAAGGAAATGCATGTAGATTGCAGCCTCAGGAACCAATATACACATGATTGAACTGTGTAATAGACTCATCTCTTTTCTCTAGACCGATTAGCGCGCGCACACACGTCTCCCCCATGTTGCAAAACCCGATTCGCCAAAAGCCCCAGCTCTAGCCCTAACCCCTTAACAACACCCCCACAAGGCACAAGCCCAGTAGGCCACCCCCCAGCTCAGCACTCTCTCGGTCTCTGTCTCTGTCTCTGTCTCTCCCTCTCTCTTTCTCTCTCCTTCACGCTTTTCTCTCTCTCCAAGTGGGCAATCCAAGTCCCTTCCTCCCTCGGTCGCTTCACTTTTCTTCAACATCCTCGTCGTGTGTCAGAAGAATCAGAAGCACCCAGCCTCCCCACCCCATCCTCGAAGCCCCCTCCTCCTCTTCCTGTGCTGCTGCTGGTGTTGCTCCTCCTCGTTCTCCCTTTCCTTTTCATTCAAGCAATCCTCCGCCCCAACCCCACTTCCTTTCTTCATTGTTTTACAAGCACAAGCGCCTCTCTCCTCACACCAATCCTCTCCCTCTTCTTCCTTTTTTTTTTTTTTTGGTTCATGTGTTCGACACCTGAATTTCAATCCAATCCCTCCCGGTTCTAGCCCGGGCCTTACACGGCCCAATGCATCCCTCTACAGCAACCGTCACCGGATCAGTACTGCTACCGCCGCTGCCGCTGCCGCCACCACTACCACCATCATCATCATCATCATCATCCCCAGTTCAAACCCTTGACCTCATCAACCACCTCCTCTCTATCCTCCTCCTTTCCGCTCTCAGCGTCAAATCCTTCGTCGGTCGCTGGCAGGTCCTCCTCTCTAAACTCTCCTCCCTCAGAACCTCCCTCTCGGAAATCTCAGATTCCCCTCACTGGTCCGAGAATCTCCTCCTTCATGACCTCCTCCCTACCCTCCTCTCCACTCTTCAGAAGACCAAATCCCTCTCTGATCAATGCCACGACCCTTCTTCCTACACCGGCGGTAAGCTCCTCATGCAGAGCGACCTCGATATGGCTTCCGCTTCCCTGTCCGCCCTTCTACATGATCTCGATTTATTAATCAAATCCGGGGTCCTTCGCCAGTCCAATGCTATCGTTCTTTCCCAACCCGGTCCCGGCTCGTCCAAAGACGACTTGGGATTTTTCATCCGCGACCTCTTCGCCAGGTTACAGATCGGGGGGATCGAGTTCAAGAAGAAGGCCTTGGACTCGCTGCTTCAGCTTCTCCGAGAGGACGATAAAGCTGCTGTCCTGGTGGCCAAGGAAGGAGACATTAGGTATTTGATTCATTTGCTTGATTCCAGTCATCAGCCGTCGCTTCGAGAGCAAGCAGCGGTGGCTGTCTCTGTTCTTGCAACTTCCGGTGATTCCTCTCGTAACGCCGTCTTCGAAGAAGGGGGTTTGGGGCCTTTACTGCGCCTTCTCGAAGCCGGTTCGTCGGGCCTGAAGGAGAAGGCTGCCATGGCCGTCGAGGCGATCACCGCCGATCCGGATAATGCCTGGGCCATTTCTGCCTATGGTGGTGTTCCGGTGCTAGTGGAAGCGTGTCGTTCGGGATCTCCTTTGACCCAGACGTTTGCAGCAGGTGCGATGAAGAATGTAGCGGCGGTTGAAGAAATAAGGGCTGCTTTGGCAGAAGAAGGCGCGGTCGCCGTTCTTGTCCAGCTATTGGTTTCTGGCACCGATTCCGCCCAAGAAAAAGCTGCCAATAATCTGTGGATCCTCGCCTCGTCGGGAGAAGATTTCAGGGCCTCGATAATACGGGAAGGCGGATTACAGAGGCTTCTGCAATTAATACAGGAGTCTTCCAGCCCGGATACGTTAGAACACGTCCTGCGAGGGATATACGCCCTCTCGTCTTCAGCTTTGGCAGCCAGGATCTTGTCTTCATCAAATCCATTCATATTGCAACTCGGCGAGCTTGTCAAGCATGGAAATGTCATCGTGCAGCAGATGTCTGCTTCACTTCTAGCTAACCTATCTATAAGCGATGCGAGCAAGCGGGCAATAGCAGGGAGTATGGGGGCACTAGTGAGAATGGTGGAATCTTCCAAGCCGGTGGGTTTGCAGGAGGTAGCGACGGAAGCGCTGGCCTCCTTATTGACCGTTCGGTCGAATCGCAAAGATCTTGCCAAGGACGAGAAGAGTGTACTGAGGTTAGTCCAGATGTTAGATCCCAAAAACGAAATGGTGTGTAAGAAGTTTCCAGTATCGGTTATCTCTGCAATCTTAGCCGGAGGCAGCCAAAGGTGTCGGAAGAGGATCGTGGCTGCCGGAGCCTACCCGCATTTGCAGAAGCTGGCTGAAATGGACGTCGCCGGCGCAAAAAAGGCCCTACAAAGGCTTGCCGGAAATCGTCTCAAGAGTATCTTCAGCAGGACTTGGAGGGAATAACCGACAAAGAAAAGAAACTAACCCCGCCAAAGGGCAAAGGTAAGTCGTCAGAGACTCAGAGGGAGAGAAAAAAAAAATCCGTTTGAATTAATTTTTTACTTTTTAGCACACAAAAATCTCAACTTGAGCTGTGTGATAAGCTAGAAATCCACTCCATCCCAGCCATTAAAGGTGGGGATCATGGGCCGTCGGGTGTGTAAATCGTGGGACGGCTTTTTTAGATAGATCCATTTAAGTTATGGATTGGCCTATCCAAAAAGCCCACCCAGATGGTGCAGTTGGAAATGAAAATAGTCGAGCCATCATTGGCTTTGCAATAATTATTAAGATTAAAGCGTTTTTTTTTTTTTACTTACACTAGCAGTGTTTGTTGTGATATGCATTTTTACAGGTATCCGTTTGAAATTCTAACTGTCGAAGAGGAAACTACTTTTCCGGTACGAGAATCAAACACATACTTCCTATACTCAACCAAACAAAAATTTTACATTATTATTAGTCTCCTCCCCCCGACCCAAGAAAAGAAAGAAGACCAAGAAGGCTATAGAGAGAGAGAGAGAGAATAAGAATAGTTAGGAGGTTATTATTCGAATATTTATATAATATAGAATAGAGAGACAAAAAAGAAATGGTGGATGCGGTTTTTAGGGAAGTATCCTCTTTCTTATTTTAATTGTTTGACTTGTGAAGCTTAGACTCTGAGAGTAAGTGAGAGAGATTTGATAATGTACATGAGAGAGGGTCTGTTGTTTATCTGTAATAGGCATATCTTTTTTCTTTTTTTCATTTTTTTAAAGCATTAGATAGTAGGTGTGTAATTGTTTTTGTTTGTGCATGGTTGTTTTTTTTTTTTTTTTTGTAATAAGCTTCTTTACAATTGACTTGTTGTGGTGTGATATAATCATATAATCGACTTTTTTGCTTTCTGATTCTTGTTTTGTCTATTTTTAATTCCTTTTGGGTGATGAGGACCATGAGTTGATGTGGACGTTGCTGATATATTGATTGTATAATAATAGGATGATGTGTGAGTGTGATGTACCAACCAAAACTTAGGAGTGAAGGCCTGCTCTTCTTAAGTTAAATCTTAAACCCCTCTCTAACACCATATTAATCACAAAAACTCAGAAAGCAGTTCTTTTTTGTAGCCTTACCGTCAACAGAAGAGTGACGTTCCTTCCCATGGAATTGGAGGGTAGAAGAAGGGTAGGAATTAAAGGATCCCAAAAAAAGTATACTACTGTGTTTTGTTGCTGTGCATTGATATCATCATGGTTTTGTTTTGTTTTATTTTTTGTTCCCTTGTTTTTTCTTTCCTTGTGTAACTTGTTTTGCTTTTGGATAATCATGGGTGAGAGATCAACATCTGAGTGCAGCTGCTGCAGCCTGATATGTATTCAGTGTGTGATACTGATAATACAACAAAGTGGCGACATAGACAGAGACGGGTTGGGGTTAGGGCTGGGGTCCACTTTTATAATTCATATTAAAGCCCACATGACATGCTTGGTGGAAAACCCATTCAACTTTGAACGCTGATTTCATAATTCATTGGATGGATCAACATGATTTCATGGGCTGGGGTGTGAAATATGAGCGATGATGTTGAAATGTCAATATGGGATGACCAAGTTTTATCGTTCGATCAATTCCCCACATGGGTTGTTTCAATTTATGTTTTTGAACTACACGTGGAAGTTGGTCCCACCACAACCCCTTTCCAGAACAGTGAAATCTCAAGGCCTTCCAGTTCCACAAGAAAACAGGAGCAGGTAACGGCGCAGTTGGGGGAGACTGCACTAGTCTAGAGAAAGAGGGAACCGTTTTCAAGAGGAGATCATGGCGTGGCGTCCCTGGGCATTTTCCCAGGGAAAATGGAAAGGGATCGGGGCAGCGGGGGGACGGGTGGTAGGACTGGAAAAGAGCGACTTTCACATGGGAAAAGAGGGGGGGTCATAGCAAATTAGCAACCAAAGGTTGGGGGGGGGGGGGTGATTGAAGTAACACAACCAAAGGTTGTGGGGGTCAGCAAATTAGCAATAATCCCTTAGCCCTAGGTGTGGGGTGTGGGGTGTGGTCCATTCCCTACTACTCACTCTACTCCGTCAAGAATCAAGACTGGTAAGTAAACAAGTGATGCCTGAGAGAGGTTCAGAGTGATGATGCCTCCTCACTTGTTAGCAAAAGAAAAGTAGGCAACTTTTTTGGTCATATTTCTCGTGGAAGCTTTTAAGGAACTGCACAAGCAAGCTGTAAAGCTTTGCTTCTCTTTCATTGCAGCTCACTTTTCCCTCCCCTCTCATCATTATTCCCTTCTTCCTTCTCCTTTTCTTTCCCGCCAGCGCCATTTTACTTAATTACCATTTTTCTTTTCCTTTCTCTCCCTCTTCTCTTTTGATAGATGGGGTAACTTGACAGTTACAACGACGGTTACACAAGTCCGTCTCTCCTATTCTTGATTTCGGGTGATAAATCATTAATTTGAGCACATCTCCTCCAGCTTCTGAGTTCTGAACTGTGATAAAAGAGGCGCACTACCGCTTTCTCCTAATTAAAGACAAACACATTCTTATGTAATAAAATTTGTCAGGAATCTTTTGTCTTTTCACCAGGGAACGTGCCTCGATTATCAAAAATTGGATTTGCTCAAAACACACCGCCCATTTTCCTTGTTTTTTTTTTTTTTTTCTTTCCCCCGTTTACGTGATATACTGTTATCTCCCCTGGGATATATGGTAATTTTATTGTCCTCTTCTTTCTGGGTTCTGGCCCGAGTTCGATACCGTTTTTTTCTGATGGGTCCCTCTCCCTCTCAAGAGAATCTCCTACTTCTTACTCCAATGTTGATGTTGTAGCGTGATAGTAATTCCCTGATAAAGTGATAAGGAGTATCTTCAATTTGAATGGGCAGAGCAGAAGAGACATTGTTAGTGTTAAAACTTTGATATGGAGTGCCTCCGTCTTTACATATGCGTTCTATCCCTCATGGTGCTTGCTCTGTGTCATCTAGCATCGCTACCCCTTTGCGACTTGTGGTTGTGGATCTCTGGGTTCCAAATCAAAACTATTGTTTGTTCTTTGTTGAGACATGGGAATTCCTATTGATTTGGCTTCATCCGAAAAACCGGGAAATTAATTTTGTGTCAGCTGCAATCGATTTAGGCCATGCTTGGAACCGATGCCATGAAGGACATTCGGTGCTGGGGAAACGTCAACTATTTGGTTGGGCATTTTTTCAAACAATGTTTTCTAAGACTATATCTTGAAAATTGGAAAAAGAAAATATGGCCTCACATTGTCATTTTCTCATTTTTTATATCATTGCCTAGGTGGAAGCAATGGTTCCAAAAAAAAAGCCGTTTTCTGTGAATGACTTTCCATTGCAGAGCACCATTTTCTAAAAAAATGGTGTTTATTTGGGAAACAGCACCAGTTCCAAATATTGCCTTAGTTTATACCCTTTTTAAGGATTAATAGAAAGAAGGGTAAAGAGTTCAACTATGATACCAGAAAGCTTGGAACCAATCAAACCAACTGGTATCATGAAAGTGTTAAGCAATCAGGTGGCACCTTATCAAAATTCACAGAGGGGATTGTTTCGATTTTCGGGAAGCATAGAATTATCAAAGGGCTGGGTAGAAAGTTCAAATGGTTGATGCATGATCATCAAAGTTTAGAGTTTAGGCCAACGGCTTAAAATATTATTTTGAGGCAAATCAAGTGATGCTAACGTACTGTGGCCTGAAGGATTTGTCAACGCCAAGGGTGTTGTACTTGTACGTCTCCAATCCTTTGGAGTAGAAATGAGGGCCCAAGGGCCCATTGCCTTGTGCGATTGTGAATACTGCAACTGCCGGCAAAAGTAGAATTTTAGTTGAGAGAGAGAGAAACCAGGTAGGACCATTGTGTTTGAGTAGTTGGATGCACCATCATCCCATAAGTAACAAGACGTATGCATCTCTTCTTTTGCCATTAATTCATTACTCAATTGTGTTTGTGGCCTAAAACCTCCATTTTTTCTCTCCCTGTGTTAATCCGGAAATTCATCTTCAATGGGTTATGGGGTTGCTTATTTGTGTAATTTAAACGTAAAGTGGTCTTCGGGAAAAGAAAAGGAAAAAGGGTGTGGGACTCTGCCCCCCACACTCACCTCTTTGTCTCTTGATTTCACGCTCATGAATTTTAATCCTTTTATTTTCCTCCTCAAAGGGAGAGAAGTCAAAACTTAGGAACTGCGATTCAACCTAAACTTTTCGGCTTTTCAGCAATCTCTGTTTTCGGAGGTCGTTCGCTTTCACAATGTTTAAAATATATAAGAAAATGACTCGAATAGATTATATATATATATTACACAGACTGGTCCAGTGATTTTACTACCAACTTAATAAATGAAGAAAAGAATTGAATCACGTAATGGAATCAGCGTTCAGGTTACTTAAACTACACCGGTCGGTTGCATCACTTCACGCTATCTACCTTATCTCTGATATTGTTTTCAACGAGGACATTCACAGTCCATTGAATTTGATGTGATATCTTCCGAACAAAAGCTTTTCACATGTAAAAGAATACTTGGTATGTAAAAATTATATAATATAGATATAAACATAAACATATAAAAAGCTATAAAGTATAAACTTGATTATTTTTGCAGCTTGACGAACATGTGGGTTCGCCATCGATCTTAGACCGCACGGGAAGGTGGGGGAAAGAGTTTCAGCATACACCTGATGCTGATGGGCATGCATAGACTTGGACGCCCAACATTTGATAGATCTCATTCTCACATAAAACTAAGAGTTAATTGAGGTACAAAGAATATTCTAGTATCTCCATCGATTGAAACTGTTATTTTTTCCTCTTTGTTAGAAATATCAGAAACGGATTACAATGACAGGCAGTGCATTCCACAATCAAAATTCAGATGGTCGAGAAATACAAAGAGTGAATAATTGCTTCCTTCAAATGGTAAATGATAAATTAGGATCAATTTATTTGCAGTGCTATTTTCATTTGTACTGGTGTAGCTTTAAGGGAGTAATAGGTTGAGTGTAAATTTTGGTTTATTTTTGCTTTAAATTTGGTCTTGTCCTGTTTGTTTTTAAGAATTAAATCGATTCAGTCTCCGCCTTATATTGAAAGAGAATAGAGGTGTTATACAGTTTTGTATGCCCTTAGCTTCAATCAGAATGATGTACTTTATGAGTTTATTGTAAATAAATAAAGATACATATTTGAATCATGTTCCCTTGGTATGTTTCTGTGTAATACCCTTAAACTGGACACTTAATGAGACTCGTGTTAGTTTAAAATGTTCACAGCCAGTGGGTCGGTCTGGGGAGACCTATCCTGACAAGGCTGACACTGTGGTACCACCAAGTCGGTTGGGGTGGCCTGTCTCAGCTGCCAGGG